CCCACCGCGGGGATTCCTCGACATGGATCTGTGTGTGCGCATGAATGCTGGGAAAGAATTATCGTCTGAGCGTCCGTCCCCAGAGGTGGGAACGAGGGATTCAGCAGCAGCTTTCTCCAAATGATCAGCCATTATTGCTCTAAATACACAGCACACAAAAAGTTCACAGCGGAGGGAATATTTTTAATTATGTTGCTTAGCAGGACTTGACAAAAACCTGGCTCCTTCTCTCCCGTATATACACCAATATACGGTAATGATATCACGGCAAGTTAAGTGAGCAGCGGTGAGTTTTTTTTGAAAGTGCGAGCTTGTGTAATTGCGTTTGCGGTCTCCTGGTTCATTTGCGCTTTTCCCAACATAATAAAAAACATCTCTGTGACTAGAATGCGTTTCACACCATCTGCAGCTATAGAGGCACGTATAGGGAAAGCATTAGCATAGAAACTTGTGATGCGGTGTTTGTGAAGGTGTTTTTTATATTGTCATAAAAAGCTGTGATATGTTATAAATTGGAAGTTGGGAAGTTCTTTCTCATTGCTTATAGAACTGGTGTGAATCTACAGCCGGTGATGACACGCATCACCGAACATTATCAGGAAATTGTCGCGGAGCTAAGATTTCAAAACATGTCAAACCTGTAGTTAAAGGTAATTGCTGTTAGACGCGGTGTTGTACAAAGGCAACTTCATTATCACTTATAGAAACAGGAGATGCTGAGACACAGATGAAAAAATGTGTATGCTGAAAGCTGACTGGTCTTGGCCGTCAAAGTCAATGGTGATGTACGTTGGTGATTTGTGTGTCCGGCGCGGTGGAGACGGTGGGTACGGCAACTAGATGCATGTGGCAAATACAGGAGATGAGATTCCGTCAACTCCCTCGCTCCATGGACGTGCGGCAACCAATCAGAGAGCGACAAAGTGGTCACGAGGAAACAAGCCGGTCCAAACAGAAAGACAAACACCAAAACAGGAGCTAAAAAACAGAACCAAACCAGGACTGACAATGGGGGACTTTCACCCTGAGTTAACTTCTTCTTCTTCTGCGCACTGCCGTGTTAACAACACGGCAGTGCGCAGCCGTAACTTGGACCATGTACCCTAGACCATATACACCCACAGGACCACTGTGCTTGTTGTATATTTTATATTTAATGACAGTGTTTGGCAATCATGATACATTTCACACTTCTTTGAAATGTCTCATTCTCTTCCCTGTAACAAACAATATGGTGCTGTGTCCGTCTCCCTCACTATGTAGTGACATGTTAATTAATATCAATGTAGATCATTGCACTTTATTATAATTGTTGAAGCTGCATATATCCTGAACCTCTACAGCATGTGCTTCCGCATACTGTAAAAATAACCGTAAAAAAAAGAAACGGCTGGGCCGTCCAGGAGGTTTTTGGTCCCAGTCCAGCTCTGGCAGTATGACAGATTGATTAAACTTATGTGGCTGAAATTAGCATGCATCTTGGGAACAAACTAGCCTGGCTCTGCCAGACCCTTGTAGTTCCGCCATGCTCCACCAGAGGCGTTTGGCTGAACCACATGGGTCTGGTATCGAGCCCATAGCGAACGCCTTCCCCAGATTATTTTTTAATCGACCAATCAGGATTGCCGGTGTTACGTGGGGTTTGCACTGCCTTCTCAAGCTTCTCTCATGCAGCAGCGAGAGGAATCCAAGATGGCGGACGTAAAGTCCGCGAATCTTTTTAAAAGAGTAAATACGATCGAATTAAGACACGGATGTCACTTTTAATGCAATTTGAGGCGAGATGTTGATGGTTCTATGTTGATATATGTGTGTTTTAAGAGTCAAATGCTCCTGTAAAGTTTGGTTGAAGCACTGGTTCAGTGTTCCTGTTTACACACTATGCAGCAGGGTTGCCAGGTTTGGTGGTTCCCGCATATTTTTTTCCAAGAGACTTGTAGCTATTAAATAAACAGAAAGACAATAAACAGAATCATGATAGCCCAAGTTGATTACATTACGTTTTTAGCCAAAAAACTTGAGTGTTTTTTTGTGTGGGTATTCTCGTTGATTTTGGGTTGGAAAATCTTGCTGGGATTTGGCAACCTATGGGAGCCGTGTGCTTCGATGTGAGTGGTTGAAAGCAGACTTCATTCAAGATAACGGACAAGTGGTCTAAATCCAACCACTATGGCTCAGTACCAGACTCATGTGTGAAGTGCAGCGAGAACTACATGGGTCTGGCCAGAGTCAGGCTAGGAACAAACACCTTGATCTGAACAATCACCAAGACAAACCTTAAACCTCGAACCAGAGAGAGATGTAAACCCATGGTCCGGTGTGAACCCTCATTGCACTCACATAGAAGCTCATTACATTAAACAACATGTGTCGGGGCAATGGTGGCTCAGTCTGTAGAGTATTGGCCTTTGAGCCTGAAGGTTGTAGGTTTGATCCCCCCACGAGACCTACTCCAACTGTTCCCACTCATGTCTGCTGTCGTTGTGTCCCTGGGGAAGACACTTAACCACATGGCCTGAAGCCCCGCTGAAACACCAAGACTGTGTCACCGCAGACTGAGCAGCCATCTTCCCGTGGACCCACCACCTGGGTCAGCACTAGATCATATACGGAATCAGGACGGAAGCAGAAGTAAATATAACATTTCCGAAAGAATAACCCCAACCCACCCTTAACCCTATCCTTAACCATCTTACTCAGACACCTAAATTGTAAAGTCACCACTTAAGGACTTATTAGTCTAAAACTAATTTTAAATTAGGATTGTTACTTCCGGTTTCGTTCCGATTCCGTATATGATCTAGTGCCGACCCCACCACCTGCAGGAGGATCCGAGACGGACTGGTGCTACGGGTGCAACTCTGATTGTCACCCCCCGACCCAGAAATGGGTTTATAAAGGGGTAGAAAATGAATGAATGGAGGAACATTTATCAACAAATGCTGATAATCCTGTCGGACTGATACGGATGCTGACTTTTTATATGTCACACAATTTAGCACATGGCAGAAAAAGCCTGCTATGTCTTCTTCAACTTGAACAACTCTATCGGCTGAACTATGGTCAGTAGTCGTCAGGACTGAGAGTGGGCGGCGGTCACAGCGGCGTGACTATATTTTGCCCGCGGGAGCTGTGTTCATTTCCTCGTATCACAGACAGCCCCTCACTCAAAACTGCCGATACGCCTCAAAAGCAGCTTAAAGAGATTGACAAGGTCTCCCCTGTGAAAGGCTGCTATTTTCAGGGGGAGGAAACTTTATCGCTCTGACAGGACGACAACAAAAAATGCAGAGTGGCATCAATCGGTGTGTCAGAGTTGGTGGAGGTCCGTGTTTATCTGCTCCCAGTGCGGCGCCTGTCTCATTTCTGAGGCACACGACTCCAGCGCTACAGCGGGACAGAACATGAGGGGGGGGGGGGGGGCTGTCAGGGGGAGGGGGGGGGGCTGTCAGGGGGATGTTGATGAAGGATGGGGTGAGGAGGGGGAGGGGGGGTGTCAGCATGAGATTAAAACAGTGAGCGCTCCGGCTGCATGATTAATCGCAGTGGAAGAAAAATCACAAGTTTAAGTTTTTTGTTCCAGCCTGGAATCTACATGAGGTTGAAATGTTTGAACTTTGCCAAATGAACCAGCCTGGACTCTGAGGAGCACAGGGACCGGCCTCCTGCTGGGACTCTGAGGAGCACAGGGACCGGCCTCCTGCTGGGACTCTGAGGAGCACAGGGACTGGCCTCCAGCTGGGACTCTGAGGAGCACAGGGACCGGCCTCCTGCTGGGACTCTGAGGAGCACAGGGACCGGCCTCCAGCTGGGACTCTGAGGAGCACAGGGACCGGCCTCCTGCTGGGACTCTGAGGAGCACAGGGACCGGCCTCCAGCTGGGACTCTGAGGAGCACAGGGACGGGCCTCCTGCTGGGACGCTGAGGAGCACAGGGACCGGCCTCCAGCTGGGACTCTGAGGAGCACAGGGACCGGCCTCCTGCTGGGACTCTGAGGAGCACAGGGACGGGCCTCCTGCTGGGACTCTGAGGAGCACAGGGACGGGCCTCCTGCTGGGACACTGAGGAGCACAGGGACTGGCCTCCAGCTGGGACTCTGAGGAGCACAGGGACTGGTCTCTTGTTAGTTTCCAGAGTCAGAACTAAAGATGGAGAGGTATCTCTTCCAGACCTGTGCACCTAATATCTGGAACAATCTTCCTGAAAGAGCGAGACAGGCTGCTACCCTGACTATTTATAAGTCCAGGCTGAAAACTCTTTCATCACAGTTTTCTTTCTGTCGTTTAAAACAAAAGTATTGCCCCCACATTTGTCACGTTATGAAAAGGACGAAGAATCCAAAATGCAGGACTGGTAAAAGTATAAGATTTAATTCACAAAAACTCAAAAATAAAGCACACACCCACACACACACACACAAAAGATGAGGGCAGGACAACTAAACAAACATGAATTAACACTGAAAAGATCCTGTAGTTAATTAAAAAAATGGAAAATTAATTAAAAAAAAGTCCAAACCATGACATTTTTAGTAAGTTCTTTACGATGGCATTGCAGCAGTTGCAGAGGGAAAGGTCACATTATTAAACGAATTATCAAACTTAAGTAAAAGGTATAATGGCCAATTAAAATGATTATTATAACAATGTTTCTTATTTAAAGCCTGCAGCACACTAGCATAGAATAAACCTGCATTTAAAAGATATTGTTTTTATCCCATTATCGCCCAAGTTTTTACACATTTCTCACCTTTACTTTAGATTCACTTGTGCTAAACAGATAAACTTGCCTATTCGTCCCACAGGGGGAATGTCGGTGTAACTCAAGCGTAAAAACGTGTATGAAGATAACATTAAAAAAATCCTGTATATTCTAGTGCAAGTATTGTATAGTTGTATGTTTACACAGTGACAGTAAAGTCACAGTGAACACATGTGGTTCTGTATCATTCTGACATTATCGAAGTCATTATTATGTGTTCAATAATCCTGCTTCTAACGTCAGTATCGTGGCTCCTTCTCCAGCTTTAGTCTTGCTTTCCTCCCTCTAGCTGTCACTCGGTACACCAGACTCAGGCTGAAGGACAGCGAGGGGCCGGGGGAGAGGTCAGCGTCCCGGGACAGCTCCGTGGCAGGTCTTTGGCAACGTTTTATACAACACACGCTCTTCAGAGTCTGTTTATTCAGATGCAAGAGCAGAGCCGCGGCTACAGCTGACGGAGCATCCATCCGTGACCTGCCCTGGACAGGCCGGATCACAAAAAAACATGGGAGAGAAGCCGAGTTACTGCATGTGGTGGACACGGACTAGTGGGTTACAAGAGGCTGGAGATGCAGCAGAGGACAGGGGAGAAGGGAAGGGACGGAGGCTACTGTAGGAATATGAGAATCTATTAGGATCCAGTGTTGTGACAATTGCACTGTGGGTTTGAAGGTTTCGGGTTCATTTAAAAAGCTTTTTGAGCCAGCCTGACGTGGGTTTGTGGGAGGAATATTCTGTGCATATGTCATCTGAATAAAACGCTATTTACTGCATGTATAGAGAGATAGATAGATACTTTGTTAATCCCTGTATGAAATGCAGGTGTCCAGTAGCCGCAAAAACACGTCCATCCAGACAAAAACAAAAAAATAGTAATAATAATGCAAGAGCACTTTAGTTTCACAGCATTGTATATAACTCAATCCAATCCAATTATTTTTTGGTATAGACCTAAATAGTTTTCTCAGAAGACTGAATAAAACCGTCCAATTTGACAACATAGATCAGAGAATCAAACTGTTAAAACACAGGAAATGCAATGATAAAAACATATAAAGCCTTTGGTCCGTGCGGGACAGAGACCGATGTCCATAAATGTTGATCAAATCCATAAGTGTCGTTGGATATGGAGTGTCCTGGATCATCACCTCTGTCCTTAAACCCTCCTGCCTCGGCAAGGAACAACTCTAAAAACCCAATGGTAGAAAATCCACAGACGGACGGGCTGTAGATCCAGGACTCAGGCTGTAGAACGAGGACCGAGGCCACGTATTGCAGGACTTAGGCTGTAAAACGAGGAGCACAGCCTAAATCACTGCAGTAATTATCCCAGAGGACTTTACAAAGCTGTTGATTGGCAAACACAAGAAAAACAAGGATAAAAAAACCATACAGCCATTGGTCCAAAAAGGGGCAGAGGATCAAGGGCCTCAAAGGGACGTTGCCTTTTTGCGGCCTCATGTTTGTTGATCCACATCGACCTGGGAACACAGTGAGAAAGGTCGGCAAGTTTTTAAAAACCTTTTCACCACCGGGGAAACAGAAACATGTCACAGTCAAAGGGTCAAAGTCACAGTGCACCCGGGACCCCAGAGAATCACGTTGCAGTGGACTATGGCAAGTGTATCATCCACGTGCAGCAATATAACACATTTCGGTGATTAGCCCAACTGCTAATAAAGCCATCTGCATACAGAGGTGATGGGAGAAGCGCTAATACTGGAAATGTATATGATCAACGAGTGTGTGTCTTTTTGGTGTGGATTTTTAGTTATTTTGAAATCTGTGCTCAGTTGGTTTGGTTGTAGTTGGACTTCCTGTCTTGTTCCGTCTTGATTGTCTGCCCCGCCCTGATGTGTTTCACCTCCTCTCCCCTTGTCAGTCTGTTTTCCTGGTTACTGAGTTTTGTTTGTATTTAATGTTCATCTTGGACTTTTATTTAATTTTCATCATCAAATCATTGTTATCTTTTGCATTCCTGCGTTTTGAGTCTTTCCCACCACATCACAGTGACTTCTTTGAAAAGAACTTTTAATGCGTCTCCATTAAATAACCCAGAAATGCGAGTCCGCTGTGCATACACCATTTAACTGGCAACAATTCTGAAACTAACTTTTGATGCTACAGATGTTTAGATGTCGTGGAGTGAATTTGAGCCAAATCGGTGATAGGGCCGCGAGAGGCCGGTCCATCCAAAGTGCGAGGTGAAATTTGAGAGGTTTTTGGATTTTCCCATTGACACAGAATGGGAAGTGTTTGTCATCGCCACGGCAACAGAGTTAAAAAAAGTCATGGGTTCTAAAACAGAAATCTGTGCACATTTTCAAACATCGTAACATGGAGCCACAGCTGTTATCACATCTTTGACTCACGGAGCGAAGTCCTCCTCAAGACCAGATTCTCCCACGACTTCACTTTACAATATCGATTCGGCTGCTTTCAACTTCATTCATATCAAACTTCCTCTGCTCTTCAGTCTTGGCTTTCACAAATTGACTCATACAGGATGCCTTGTAGCTGTCAATCAAAACTGTCAATGTCAGAGGATTCCTCATACATCTCACACAGCCTCAGTCCTCGTTCTACAGCCTGAGTCCTGGGTCTACAGCCTCAGTCCTCGTTCTGCAGCCTGAGTCCTGAATCCACAGCCTGAGTCCTGAATCTACAGCCTCAGTCCTGGATCTACAGCCTCAGTCCTGGATCTACAGCCTCAGTCCTGGATCTACAGCCTCAGTCCTGGATCTACAGCCTCAGTCCTGGGTCTACAGCCTAAGTCTTGGATCTACAGCCTCAGTCTTGGATCTACAGCCTCAGTCCTGGATCTACAGCCTCAGTCCTGGATCTAAAACCTCAGTCCTGGATCTATAGCCTTAGTCCTTGATCTATCGCCTGTCTGTGTGTCTAGAGATTTCTCACTTTGTTCCCACCCAGGATGGTCTAAGAAGAGTAATGATTCAGGACATTCAGGGACATTTATTAATTTGATTCTCTAATGTATTGTTGGCGAATCAACAACTTTGTCTAGTCCTCAGATACGACTGCTGTTGTTATTTAAGCCTATGCAAAAACACATTGAATTGATTAGCGCTGCACTGTGACACGGTCCTGGGCTCGATTCCAGCTCCAGGCTTCTCTGTGTGGGCTTTTGCATGTTCTCTCTGTGGCTGTATAAGTTTCCTTCAGGTGCTCCGGTTTACCCTACCACTAAAAACATGTACAATAGTCGCCCATGACACCCTCCACCTCCTCTCTCCATGGCCAGGACTCTCAGTGGGGCTTTCCTGGTTAAATAAAGGTGTAGTAATGATAATAACTTTTCCCACAATGCTTTATATCCCAGTGGAACGATTGCCCTTTTGTTTCTGGGGTCACTCTTGAGCTCGTTGGCCTCTCTCCACACCGGTGTTTGTCCACATTATTTATACTCCGCTCTCCTTAGTTAAACAACGGCGTGACTTGCCGAGCTCTCGCCGCAGTTTGAAGGTCAGAGAATGGAAAAAGGGGGAAAGGGAGGAGGAGGTAAGAGTGACCCGTTTCTCATCCTCGCTTCACGTCCCAACATAATTAACCTAATGAAGATCAATTAAGTGGCTGTGTCCGCGCTGTCAGGCCGTCTCAGCTCACGGCGCCACACTTCCATCTCTGTCGGGGTCTGGCCCACCGCAGCAGAAGGGCAGCTCTGAGGACAACATGTAGAACTGACTCTAAACGCAGAGGTTGAACAGGTCAAAATTCTAAAGTGGCAATATGAAAGATTTTCCTGTCAAGTCAGCATTTTTTATTGTACATAATTATAACCTGCACAGACTATAGTTTTAACCTTAAACATGTTGCACACTTTTGTCTTTTGCACAATCTGAGTTCCATCTGTGCCAAATGTGTCATGTACATTTCTCCATCAACCATTATAGACATTTCACACCTATTCGTAAATCTCAGAACGGCCTTAATCCAGCAATCCCATGTTCTCAGCCCCTGGGCACAATTGATGAACCAACTTGCCCTCTTACTAAATAGTTTGGACACCCCTGGTTTAATGGATCTGCAAGATGTGAGCATTCAGCAGGAAAATACAAACTTTGAGACTTTAAGATGTATATGCTTTTTATGTGAAATCAAGTCTATTCTGTTTCTTGTAGTGACTTTGCCTTTACTTTTGATTCCAGTTTTGTCGAAGCTTCTCAGGATCAACTGTTTTATAGATTTTTTTGAGTGTGTCCATCAGCAGAGACGACTTCCTAAACAGTTGATCTTTAAACCTCCTGTATTTTAACTTGTATTTGAATGTACTTTTTACTTGACATGTCATGCAACTTTGAGTGTCCCAAAGGCGCCTAAAAAGTCAATTGTATTTTTATAATTATTATCATTATCGTAGAGACCGAGAGAAAGGCGCCAAACATTCATTTCAACACAATTTAATTTGTTTTTGAAGCGCCCTAAATCACAACAGGGTCTTGTAGGGCTTTACAAAGGACCTCACAATTTTTTAAATTAAATCTATGATATTTGCAGTTTTACGCTTTTGGGCTCATACCTGCAAGACGATAAGTTACCCAGAGTTGAAGTAAAATTAAATAGCAATTTGTGTCTTTTTGTTGCAGCTTATGACCACATTTGTTACTTTTACTTCATTACTGGCATTGCATTAACTTTATATATGTAGTAATGGCACTATAATAACTGTGTGTGTGTGTGTGTGTGTGTGTATGTGTGACTTCTGCCGTCTCACATAAAGTCGATCTGAGGATTTCTTACTAATTGGCTGAACTTAGGTTGTATGAGCTGTATGAAAAAGTGATAATTCTGCTGTCACCTCTTCTTTGTGCTGTAATTGGAGGCCGGTCTGGCGGCTGCTGCGGTCCCTGTTAAACGGAGAATCGCAGAGACTCCGTGGGGAGAGGAGCGCTCACTCCGCTCTCTGATTAAACAAAGGGGAAATATCCAGGAAAAGCACCAGCAGATGTCACTTAGCGGACTTTAATCTTGTTTGTCGCCTCTCGGTGGACTCAGGCCCTGCTTCTGTCTTTTTATATCAAAGGCTTAAAAAAAAAAGGAAGAGAAAGAACTAATGTTGTCTCCGCCCAGAGACACTGCACGGTTAGAACAAGCTCCAGGGGAAAAAGTTTGTCATAAAAAAACCATAATGTCAAAAATGCAATGTCTTTAAAGTTGGAGGGAAAATTTATCAGATATTTTTTGTCATCAATTCAAAGCATCATCTGGGCCTGAACTGTGGACACGAACTGCACCGTTTTTGACATAAATATATAAATTAATGTAGTTTATTTAGAAAGAAATCTCTGCCAGAAATTGTATGAATTAAAGTGAAAAGAATGCTCCAATGCTCAAGGACTGGGGGGGGTTCACTGATCCTCATGCAGGTGCTGAGTCCACAGTAAGATGGCTGCTCTTTCGGTGACGACACAGCCTTGATCTTTCAGTGGGGGCTTCAGGCAAAGTGGGGTTAACGACAGCAGGCATCATTGTAGGTGGAGAAGGTCTCATGGTGGGCTCGAAACCACGACCTTCAGTCTCAAAGGCCATTGCTCTACCAACTGAGCCACTGTCTCCCCATTTTTCATTCGATTGTTTTTGTATTTTTATTGACCATAACCCTTGTATTTGGAATCATGACTCAGACACACACAGACAGACACACACACACACACAATCAAAAGTTGCAATATTCTCATTTAATAGATTACAAGAATTTTCTCATTGCTTTTTGGGTCATTTTTATAAGTGTGAAGCACCATTTTTCACCACAATCTACATTTAGGACGTTGAATTGTGGACCTTGAATATAACACAAATATTTTCAAAAGTGGTTTTGTGCAAAGCTAAACCGAACCATTGTTAACTTGGATTCGAACGCTGTCAGAGAATACTGCTACAAAACACAGACTGAAAACCAAACCCAGGACAACCCGGGACCAGCTGCTCGGCGATAGTTGGGGGAATGCTAATTATGCTAATGAGGTGAAGAGGGAGCAGATCTAAGAGCAGTGCGTGGTGTGTCCTCTGCTGTTCCTTTGAAGGTTCCTCATAATTAATATGTTTAATAAGAGCCGTGGACTTGATGAATGAGGACAGGTGTAGGATCCGGCTCTCCCGGACAGGCTCCTGAGGGCCGCGGCCGCCACACCTGCCTCCCACACCTGCCTCCCACTCCTGCCTCCCACTCCTGCCTCCCACACCTGCCTCCCACTCCTGCCTCCCACACCTGCCTCCCACTCCTGCCTCCCACTCCTGCCTCCCACACCTGCCTCCCACTCCTGCCTCCCACTCCTGCCTCCCACACCTGCCTCCCACTCCTGCCTCCCACTCCTGCCTCCCACTCCTGCCTCCCACACCTGCCTCCCACTCCTGCCTCCCACACCTGCCTCCCACTCCTGCCTCCCACTCCTGCCTCCCACTCCTGCCTCCCACACCTGCCTCCCACCCCGCCCACAGAACCAGAGACAGGGGGCGTTCAACTTCCTCTCACAACTGTTTTGTAAAGTCTGTAACTTTGGGGTTTAGTGCGTCCGTAAAACCAAGCTTTTTAGTCTTTAGTCCACAAGTTGTGTGTGTGTGTGTGTGTGTGTGTGTGTGTGTGTGTGTGTGTGTGTGTGTGTGTGTGTGTGTGTGCGCAATGAGAACTAACACATCAAAAATGTGCAATAACTTGAATTACTGTCAGAATGTGCAATACAGAACCATATGTACATAAGTAGGTCATCTTTATGTACTGTATATAGCGCCTTTCTCAGACCAGAGTCACAAAGCGGCTCACAGTTGTGGGCAGTACAGGAAGCGCACACCAGACTTATTGTACATGTTTTTAGTGGTAGGGGAAACCGGGGGAAACCTACACAGACACAGGGAGAACATGCAAACTCACTTTGAGCACTAGAGGATTTCATATTTGATTATTTATTTAGCTAAATCTCGGGCAAATCAGCAACTTTGTGAACTCCTCTGATTCAAAACTAAATGGAATTTAATTGATCTGTTGTTATTGAAAATACGCCGTATTCTATGATGTTGTCTTTGTTTTGTTGTGACTGAATTTGACACTATTTGATTAAAAAAGATAGTTATGGTGAATATTGGGAACACATGTAGCTCCCAGGATCCGTCTGACAGATCCTACCCCAGCTCCACTCTGCCCAGAACCGCAAATATCAAAAATATAACACCCAATTAGTGTTGTACATCTCGCCGTTGCTAAATGAAGAACACTTTGAGGTGCCAAATCAGAAAGGCTCCGCAAACCCTCAAAATCATGTCTGCTCCCATTCTGTCATCTGCGGACGTGACTTTAGAGCACTCTTTAAAGCTTACACACGTATCTTAACTTTAATTTGTTCAGATAATTTTAACATCATATTAAGTGGAACATGCAGAGAACAGGCAGAGGAATTAGCACAGACTGTGTGTAAACGTCGAGGAGATGTCAGACTGGTTTGAACTGGTTTTTCCTTCATGGTTACTATAGCGATGGTGGTATTTGGGAGGGAGAGGGGGGGTCAGTATGGAAAAGATTAGTGATTTAACGGAGCAGTATGGAAAGATCTGGTCAAAATTTGTACTGCAGCCTCTCCCACTGCCCTTAACTCAGGTTGCCAGATATGCAGAAAAAATCCAGCTGGGACCTTAATAACTGAAAAGAGTTTAGTCAACAACAAATCTATAACCAACACTTTTTTCACAAAGATAGAAATCCTGTTTTTATTCCTTGTTTTGTCGTTAATGATTTGAGAATCATAACGAGACCTTTTTTAGTTCTGCGCCACATGGTACTTTACCAGTGAGATTAGCTCCACGCGGTGAGTTCTGGCGCCCGGATCACAGACTTTCTGATTGGTGAAACGGTGGAGGGCGGGACATCAAAATATCTCTGAACTACTGATAAGAAGTATTGGAAAAGAGCATGTTTTATTATTACCTTTTGACAGCCACTGTTCCACTGTCACTTTGTGAACTAGAGGATTTCATATTTGATTATTTATCTTGCTAAATCTCTGATCTGTGTGGGGGCGAATCAGCAACTTTGTGAACTCCTCTGATTCAAAACTAAATGGAATTGAATTGATCTCTCGTTGCTGAAAAGACGCCGTATTCTATGATTTTGTCTTTGTTTTGTTGTGACTGAATTTGACACTATTTGATTAAAAAAGACGGTTATGGTGAATATTGGGAACACGTGTAGCTCCCAGGATCCGTCTGACAGATCCTACCCCAGCTCCACTCTGCCCAGAACCGCACATATCAAAAATATTACATCCAATTAGTGTTGTACATCTCGCTGCTGCTAAATGAAGAACACTTTGATGATGACTTGAAAATCTGACATATTGCTGAATACCCCCCCTCTCTGTGTGGAGTGAGAGAAAGATCCCACAATTGTAAAGTGCTTTGTGACTGGTCTGTGAAAGGCGCTATACAAATAAAAATTACTTACTTACTTCAATTCTGAGATCCACCAGCAGCTGTACTTTCTCCATAAGCTCAGAGTATTTGGAGCGAGCCAAAGTGTTATGTTGACCTTCTACAGAGCGAGTAGATGGAGTAGTGAGCTGGTTTGGTGAGCTCAAAAAACTGCAAACAAAAAATCTGGATATCTGTCTGTAAAGTATTATCCAGTTTGTTATTGAAGGATTTCCCTTGCACTCCCAACGTTTTACTTCTCAATGATAGCTCCACTCTCGGGTTTAATATAATTTAAAACGTGTGGTTGGTCTTACCGCAGCTAAACTTGAACTTGAGGTGTGTGGGATGAGGTTTGTTTTGCTCTTTTGTTGTTGTCATTGTTTACACACTCATTTAATTTCTTTCCAAGTACTGTTCATAAAAACTGTATAAAGCTACCAAAAGCTTCAATAATAATCATAATGAACATTGTGTGCAGGTGATCAGGTGGTATTCCAACATGGCTTGTTTATTCATTTTGTTACCGGTACATGCACATGATGCACATGATGTCTCTCATATGAGCTGTACTCATCCATACACTCTCCTTGAAAATAATAAGAAATTGATCACCAAAAAAATAACAAATCGCCGGGAAGATTGTGGGCGTGTCACTGTCCGCTCTGATCACACCTCAGACTAGTTTTGAGCAGTCAGTGTTGAGACCAAAAACATAATCAGACTCCACTCAAGTTCTCTACTCTCGATATGAACTGATGCATTCTGGGAGCAGGTAAGTAGTAAGTAATCTTTATTTATATACCGCCTTTTCACTGCACATCTGAGTCTCAAAGCGGTTTACAATTTTTATTTTTGGGCATTTGTCTCTCACTCCACACAGAGATGGGAGCGAAGTCGCCAGTACAGGAGGCATATGCCAGAACTATTGGACATATTTTTAGTGGTAGGGGAAACCGGAGTACCCGGAGGAAACCTACACAGACACGGGGAGAACATGCAAACTCCACTCAGAAAGGCCCTGGTCCGACCGGGATTTGAACCCAGGACCTTATTGCCCACTTTGAAAAGCAACAAGTTTAAGAACTCTTTTGTGCCTCAGTCCATACAGCTGCTAAATAACATAATGTGCTACTGACCCCTACTGACCCCCTCCTCTCTGCTCCAAGACACATTAAATAGACAATATAGTAAATTAATCTGAATCTGAAAATTTGAACCAGTCCTCTGCAAATTGTGAGACAAGCTTCTCTGACAATGTTCAAATCCGGGTTAAAAACAGTTTATCTGCGCCACATCTGAAGAGTGTAGACTTTTCTCCTTTGAATACACTGTGATTATTTATGATTCTAATGCCTTGTGTGATATTAATGTGTGTATGAACTCTGCCAGACTAATCAACTCGCCTCGTCTGGTTCTTCATCATCGAACCGTCTCCTGGATTCATAAAAAACACCTGAAGCAAAACTTTTACAGGAATCAATAAACAGCAGCAAATAACAACCACTTTTAATCCAGCCTCCTGTCTGTGTAAATCCATGTTGGCCTTTTAAAATATCAGCGTGGTGATTAAGTGGCGAGGAATGACTCTCCCAATGTGTAAAACGTCCTTCGCAATATACCACAGTTGCGCTCGACAATAAAACCCGGCTCAAAAGCAAAGTCGTGGTAATAAATGACGATGATAGCGGCTTATTGTCCTGCCAAAACGTCCCAATGTCACCTTTCTCGTTTCAGAATGTATGAAGTGTCATTTTCACAAGCGAAATCCAGTTCACGGAGCCCACACAGTCCGGTCTCATTTTCTCAGCGAGGCTAACAAAGCGTTTAATGTGGTCTTTGATAATAGTGCATTATGGGAGATGGAGCCCTCTGCCCTCAAGGAGCAGGTGACTGGGCAGTAGCGGGACAATTGGGCTGGGATTCAGGGACTCTGCTGACAGGACTACACTCAGGTGCACTGTAAAAAAAAAAAGACAGATATTGGAGTTTCATAATGAGGGTTAGGGTTAGAGGATGACTGAAGGAAAACACTTAAAGACTTCATTCACTGCAAAAAGAGATGAGAAATAAGTCAAATGTATCAAATTTGACAAAATGTATGTTAATTTGAGCTCATTCTGACCAGCTTTAAAACGAGATTTGCCGATGGGACAAAGCAAAATGATCTTGTTTTAAAAATATACAAGAAATGTCTCCCTTGGAATGAGAACACATGTTTTCTTATTAGCCAGAGGTCAGTGAGTTTAGAGAGTTCGGTTCAGCCTTTGAATTTGTTCCTTGACTAGGTTTCTTTCAGAAAAGTTTGAGTCTTATCTCGCTGAAAAGGGACGACATGAACAAGACCAGGACTCAGACCAGGGCTTTTACCATATATAGAGTCAAGATGATGTCATCAGAGATACTTCCTCCCTTCTGCACATTTTGATGAATCTGTTTGAACCACGGATGAGCTGGAGGAAGTGTGTACAAGTATAATACATTCTTGAAGATAAGTTAAGATAAGATAAGATATACTTTATTGATCTCACACAGGAGAAATGTACTGTCCATGTCACATCTGGCATGGACAGAAACACTCAAGATTGTGCAAAAAGAAAGAAATGTGCAAACATGTTAAATGCAGGATATATTACGTACAATAAAAAGAGCCTTTAGATTCTTTTTCAAATCAATGTAAAGCAGTAACCTATCCTTGTCGACAGTTTTCAAGTTTTTAAGAGAAAGAAGTCTGGGCATCTCTGTTTAGACCAGACATGTCAAAGTCAAATACATCAGAGGGCCAAAAAAACAAATTTGCTGCGAGCCGAGGGCCGGACTGATTCAATGTTTATCAACATCCAGAGAAAGCGCTGGTGCCACCTGCTGGCTCGATGAAATATGCTCTAAAGCTAATCCCCATACATTTTAGATATAATAGACAACTGAGAACATGAAAAGAGTGAAAAACGCTATTGACGTATTAATGCGTCAATGGCAAAGATCAAATATCATCATAGATAATTCATACACCAGCCACCCGGCAATGGACGAAACAAAGAAAACAGATGGATGTTTTAACTACTGTATATTGTGAGTCAGTGTGAGC